CCGGTTGGGGGTCGCGGCATTAAAAAGGTTGAGAACCACTGCTTTAAAAGGAATTGAAATATTAATGGAAAATTAAGAGAATTTGGTGCATTAGCAGGTTTGAATATTTATTAATATTCAAACCTGCTAATGCACCAAATTCTCTTAATGTTAACAAAATATGAAAGCAGATGTTAACAAAAATAGGAAAGCAGAAGATCAAACAGAACTGATGAATAAATGTTTCAGATAATATCTTTGACAACTGATATACCATATAATAAACAGTGGCAGAAGGATATGTCTAGATTTGTGTGGCACTGGAAAAACCATTAATTAAATATAAGATGTTACGTAAAAATTGTCGAGAACATATAAAGATTCTTCAGATTTATGTTAGAAATGAATGACAAGAGAAAACATTTTATCATGTTTGGTGACCATGTAAAAGAACTAGAAAATTCTGGGTTCAAATACACAAATACTTCAAACTTTAAAATTCAGAGGATTTTAAAGATTTATATATAACTGACATTCTTTTGTGATTGATGAACAAACAGTTGGAAAAAAGTTATGGAACTTGTTTTACACATAATAACTGCGGCAAGATTATTGGACGCATAAAGATGGAAAGATTTGGAACTACCCATAATGGAGGAATGGTTCGTAAAGATGATGGAACTTACTGAGATGGCTAAATTGAGTTCCTTGATCAGATAACAGACAGTTATCTATGTTTACTGCTGACTGGAGACCCCTGATGACTTTTGTGTAAAACAGGAAAAAACAGAAAAAAAATGATTTCATGAAGAAGAGAGATATTTATTTATTTATAATTGTACTATAACTACTGTTAAGAACTTTGGAAGTTTTGTATCTTTGTTATTTTCTACTTTTCTTTTACTTCCCCCCCCCCTTTCTTGCACTTCCAGCTTTTGCTTTGATTTCTTTTTTCTTTTTCTTTTGCTTTATATTAGATTGTGTTAGTTATCTTCCCTTTAAAAAATATTTAGTCAAATATACATATATGTACATACATACATGTAGGGAGTTTTCATTCTTACTTAGCACAGATAACATCAAAAAGATCATGCAATCCAGTTTTCAAGACTGTTTTTCTACAGTACCCCATGAAAATTCTCCTGGCCATTTTTTTAAAAAAATCCCAACAAAAATGTGGCAAGAAAGCACAAAAACTAGCATGATTTCCTACTAATTTTCAAAGGGGAATAAACAAAACTTGGTATGCTAAGTAGCAGTGAGCAAAGCTTAGAGAAACAGAGGCCACAACTCACATCCTATCATTCAAAGGTCATCTGGTAAATTGAAGATATTATATCCTGACTTACTATGGCTCTCAGCTACATACCATTCATACATATATACATACATACATACATACAATACATATGTTAGAAGTGTGATTGATAGCTGCCAAAATATTGCCCACCCATCCTAAAGCAGTCCATAAAACATTAGTTCAAAATACACTGATAAACCATATCAGAGGGCATTTGGTTACTGGCTCAACTCTTTGAAATCAGTTAAATTTATCCTGGAATCAGTGTATTTAGGATAAAAGCCAAAGTGTTTAATTTACAGTTGCAATATACCTGGCTTCATTGTCTAAGAACTCTTTCCCTGTAGAATTGTAGATCAGTTGGAATTGGATTTCATCATAGTATATGCAAATAAACTGCACACAACTTTTTGACGCAAGTACCATTTCCTAGAAAAAACAACTCTTTTGTAATGAATCAAGTCAACTTTGAGCAAGTCAATTTATGGAAATATTTATCAAGAATTGTTTTTTTAAGTAAATGCCATTATTTTCTTTTTCCCATTCCTGGCCATGCCAAATAGATTATATTCAGAGTTATGCTTAAGAAACCTTATCAGTCTTTTTGCTTTGCAAACCTTTTGAACTACCATGTCAACCAAAGGAATAAATGAACATTTGCATGTTTGCTACATAACAATATCATGCTAATGGGATTATATCAGGTACTAAATATTTATTGTTAGGAATAATCTCTATGCCATCCAATTAAACTAAATATTTAAGTTCCCAAGGGAGTTATTCCTGGAAGAAGAAATAACTATTTGCTTTACTGATTTATAGTCTGTCTTTTCTCCAAGAGATTAAGGTACTTTATTTAGAAAATTCACTTCATTGTATACACCCACTCTGATGTAATTTGATTTTAAAAAAAGCAACTAACTCAAAGACCCAATGAGTTTCTATGGCTGATCAGAGACTTGAATCTGGCTCTCCTAGTTCTAATCCAACCCCTTGACTGCTATATCTCACTGACTCTTAAAATCCTTGAAGTCTTAGCATGTACAGTATATGCCAGCTGCACATTCTGATTCTATGTCTCATCTGAAAAAAAGGTAATTTCTATTAGGGTGAGTAGCTGAGGATGCTTTAATCAAATATTTAATGTGCTTTATGTGCAACTGAGTTGTTCAGCCTTCATCTCCATAATGTCTCTTATAAAGCTTTTATTATGCTTTTGCCCTGCTTCATTTGCAGAATTTTACCGGAGGTCTAGATATTATTGTCTTTATTTTTTTATCCTTTCATTGTTTATCATAGCATCTTCCTTTTAGTTCTGAATTTTTCAAGAAATCTGTTAGAATGAAAAACTGGAATAACTGCATAAGGAATGGTAGCTGAAATATTTAATAACCCAACTGAAGGGATCTATCTATGGTCAAAATATTCAGGAGGGTAGCTGTAACATTACAACTGAAGTACATCAAAACAAGTATAGCTTCAATCTGTTGCAATTACCAATGGTCTTTTGGTCCATATCCTGTGGACACCTCTGACATGTAACTTAGTAGTAAGTTTGGAATATGGCTACCTTTGTCTTGGCTCCAAAACCATGTACAGTTGGCTAGGAAAGAACAGCATTTCAGAAGAAAGCAATCAGGAAACACTTCTATTCTGCTGCTTGGAAAACTACATATTTGCATCTATGTCATCCAAACATTTTAATATTTTTTCCCAAATGCCTAGAAATCTAATTCCCCCAAATGTTTCTCAACTGGATGAATAAATTAAAAAAGGTGGGAAAGGAAAAAAAAGCTGTGACCCCCAAGCATCTGGAAAATTGCAGGTTCAAAGAGTTACAACATTTATTATTTGGGAGTTACATTACAGCTGTACTTGCCTTCCTGGAAATTTAAGTAAACCTGAAACAATGCCCTTGTAGCAAAACAACTTAGTTTAACTAAAACAGAAGCAAACTATATCTACCTTCTGCACATTCTTTCTTCTATGTATACTTATACTTTGTTTATGTAGTTACTTGTAACTGAATAATTTTCTTTTCTTTTTTTAACAAAAAACATACCCTCTCCTTTTCTATGAAATCATCTCACAATCGATATGGTATGTGACAATGTAAGGCCACTGAAGAGAAAATATGTTGTAATAGCATTGCAATAGGAAATGAATAGTCTATTAAAAATAAATACAGAATCAGAAAGCAAACCCTTGTTTTCACAAACTACATGAAGAAATAACATTACATGTGATAGGTGATTATAGAGAATATATGAGAATGAAGACTTAAAGCTCTAGATAGGATTTTTGTGCGTCAGGAAAAGGATTAGAAATTATTTGCTATTTTTCAATACCTGTTCTCCTGTTCATTATTGGTAAAAAAAAAAGACTGATTTTGCAACATACAATTCCTGATTAGAGAAAGTAACTTTGTGCGAAATTCAATTACTAAACAAAATTAGAACTTATGTTTCATATTATTAAGACATTTAAAACAGAGGGTTTATGGAGATAAGTACCCAGATTAAGCCAGTTTTGAGATTTAAATTTAAAAGCAGCAAAAAAAAAATACTTCAGGATAAATTTAATTTTATAAATAGATTTACAATCTGTATTATCTCGCTTGATTGGCACACAAAATAAGTATTGTCCACTTCCAAATATATCTTTGTGTTATTTCTTAGAAGCAGTTCTTGTTCATGCCAGGCAGGAACACAATAATGTTCACTGTATATAAAGTTAGCAATATTATTCTACTTTTTGCAAAATATTAAAGCATAAAGTAAAATAATATTACTAACTTTATATTCAGGAGTAATTATATGTGTGCCTACCTAAAATATATATTACTTCAAATATTTATATAAGCTTAAAGACAGGATATACATGAAATAATAAAAGAATAAATTAAAATAATTGAATAAATATTGAAAATTATCATTACTTTCCAGAAAGCTAAGATGCTATATTTTCAAAATATCAAAACATGTTCAACCATATATTCTTCTCAACAAACTGCTTCCAATAGCAGGCAACCTGCTGAAGATAAGTCCACAAAGAGGACTGCAAGTCAATAGACCCCTTTATTGGAAGTAAATAAGATGCATTCAGAGTTTCCATATGGTCACAACAGCTTCATTCCGTACAGCACCAACTGTCCTTCAAACTGAAGATGCGAGGAAGTGAATCAAGAACCTTCTGAACCCCATGAGTTTTTATGAGAAATTTCCCCAGTATGACATCATTCAGAGTCATTAATACCAACAGCATCATTCCCAATCAGTATGTTTGCTCCATCTTTGTGGACGTTTAACAGTTGCTGCCAACGCCCAACTAAAGGAAGCTAACTTTTAAAATAACAATCACCAGATCTTTTACTTTTTCTCATACTGATTCCCCCGCCCAATGAAAGATTCATCCCCTTGGATAAGTAACACGATGCTTCTGGGCTCAAATAAGAAGAGATCCTTCCTCCCATTGCTAAGCAACCGCCTCCTCTTTCTCACCAGAGGACCTAGGGCCGCACTACTCTCACCCTGCAGTCAGCAGTGATCTCCTATTGGGTGCCGGGTTCTGACGTCACGCACTTCATTACCGGCCTGGGCCTCAGAGAAGCGCCCATTGGCCACCCATTCTCTGGCCACGCGGCGTCACTTTCTCACACCACCCCCGCCCTTTTTTTTTCTTTTCGCTTCGCTCATTGGCGGGAAAGGTAAGAGGCAGAGGCTTCGGAGCACCGGCTTCTGACAGGGCAAAGGGAGCTGCCACTCACCAGTTTCGAGTGGCAGCCGAGGCGGCGGGGCTGGTTTAAAGGCGCATCTCCAGAACTGTTGCCTTTCAGAGCTACCGATTCGGCGATTGAGGTTGAAGGCGAGCCATTGCTGCACACAGGTGGGTTGGACCTGGAGGGAGCGGAGGCATTATTAGTATTTTTTATTATTGTGGTTGCGATTATTAAGTGTGCTATTCGTATGGTCCAACAAAGCAAAGCAATCCTCTCCACCTCTCTATAAATTCCCAATGGGATTCACTTTCAGAAAATCTTGTATAGAATTAAAAGCAAAAAAGAAAAGGAAAGGGAAAAAAAAGAATTTGATAGGTAGAGGATTTTGCCCTTTAAGAGAGGATTCTTCGGCGATCATTTATGGAGTTATAGAATTAGAAGGGATCCTCTTCTAAACCTTTGTTTGCTTGGTTAAGATTAGTTTTTTTGTTCTTGCTTTCTTTCGTTTTCTTGAAGGACAATGTAAAAATGTGTGGATACATGAATTTATTTTAAAAGACTATCGGATAGGATGAACCCCAGATACGGAAGGGATTTGTCATTGATAAGACTAGTTTGAGATTAAGGGGCGCTTTTTGCAATAGGTCTCTGGTGCATACTCACCTTCCCTGCTTCCTCCTGGGAATCCTCTCACTATGATTGTGGGTCTGCTGAAGACTCAGAGGATAACTCGAAGAGGATAGAACAAATGGTGGGTGTGAAAAGTCAGTCACAATCTGAGCTTTTAATTATGTTTTTAATGCAAATGTAATTGGTTGGAGATGGTGGTGTAGAATATGTTTCCAGAAAGTGAGACTATTTGCTCAGCCACTTGCCTTGTAACCTGGTAGTGTAGGTTTTACTGCAAAGCTCAGTCATTCACCCCATTCAGGGGCGTGGGTTGTCTGAGAGAGCTGCCTGCATCTCTTGCTTAAATTCTTCTTTTAGGCAGCATAGCAACAAGGAAATTGGCTTGTCTTAAGTGGGCAGAGGCGGCAATTGAAACTGTCTTTCTTATGACATTTGCATTAGGTCTATTCTTTCCTACAGAGACTAAAGGAAGGCAGGTAGGTCATGGGAGTGGGCATTATTTTGTCAATGACTTGTCTGCCTTCTCTCAGGTGCCCTGCCCAAACAAAATCCAGAAACGATTGTTCCTTGAAAATATTAGGCACTTGTCCATTTGTGCAAACAAATTGTTCTTTCCCCTTCCTTCTCATGAAGTTTTCTCAAATAACCAATGAAGAAGATAATGATTAGGTCAGAGAGTTGAACCTTGGCACTTTTAAGAGGTGTAGACCAATTCCTAGAATTCCTCAGCCAGTAAAGGAATTGCACTCTTTCAAACTCAAAATCCATTTTTTCCCCTTTGAAAATGGAGGTGTCTTAGTTGAATGCATTAAAGTTGTTCAGGATATAACAATTAACATTAAAGAAATCACAAAATATTAACAGAAAAAAAATTCTTACAAATCATATTGGACTGGAACAAATAAAAGAATAATATATGATAATTTGGCAGTTTAAATATAATACAGGAGTCATTAAGAGTTGTCTAAAACAGCCAAAGCAGTAAGAATTGTCAGTTTGAATAATAAAAATAGTGACTTTCTAATCTGAAACAATCCATCTGGATTCATAGTATGAAGAAATTTAGATACGATATCCTTACGTGACTTATTTTTACAATGCATTACATTATCCACTCATAACGTATTTCTAGTTTGGTGACCCAACTTTCATTGGCTTCATATAATACATTAAACCTTGAATGCCCTTATGGTTCTTAATACATTATGTGAACCCTGCACAAACCTGTATAATTGGATTGTCATTTGGAACAGCTGTCTTAGTTGAAGAGAAAATTATGGACAGATGGTTAGATGAAGAGCATGAAAATTAGCTCCCTGCTCTATCTGTGAAACTAGTGAATATTCTGTACTTTTCATCAAACATATAATAGTCAAACTGCCAAACTTTAGGATACCTCTGACTGAAATTTTCCCCACCAGTTCTATTTAGGGAATTTAGCCTTTCAATAGAATACAATTTGCAATTTTCTTGGCAGCTTTATAGAAACAGTCTGAGGTTGCCTTCTAGTGGGACATTTTTCTTTACAGTGCATTATGGGGATACAATTCAAGGCATTTTTCTCAGATGGATTAAGTGTTTCAGAAAACTACTAGGATGAAAGTGCAAGCTGGGGACTTTTATTATGATTTTGGTAGAAATGTCTGCTAGTTCTAAGGATATCTGTCCCCATCTACAGATCTGATACCATTTCATGCATAATTTTGTTCATCTGTTTGCAAGGATTATGCTAGCAAAAAAGAGCTGTCTATATGAACCAGCAGTATTGAGATCAGTGAGGCAAATTAACTGTACTTTACATCTGGTACAGTCTAAGAAATTCAGTACTGTATTAGCTGTTGAGATTTACTTGTAAATAAATCTGCTGCAGTTGCACTGTTGCAATTTATCTCCTTGATCTTGGCAGAACTTAGTAACAGTAACTTTGTCCAAAAATGTCTCAAGATTTCACTATACAGTCAACAAATTTCTAAAATTTTTAGGGTGATTGAATTTTAAGGAGTGTCTTTTTTTGGCTAATGTTTTGGGAAATTTTTAAATTTAACCAAGCAGAATAATGTCTTATGTTGTTCAGTCTCTATTAAAAATAAATGGGTGCTTTCTAGTTACACCTAAATTCTTCTATATTGCATTGATATCAGTGAGAGACCTCTGCATATGTTTAAGTATCTCCTATTGAAAACAGATTGGAAGAAAGTAGCTTCATTGGGTATTTCTATCTTCTTTTTTCCTAGCACACTGATCCTTTCTTGCTTGTTAGTTAAATAGTTAAATGAACAATGTAAAGATGCTTTGATGTATTCATTCAGCAAATTTTCTATTTCCTTCCAGTGCCCTTTTTCTTCCCTGTAATATGCACTTTATTTTTAGAAAAGCACAAAGGAAATAATTTTAAATATAGGAAAAATTCCACAATCCACAACAAGGCAATAATTTGATTCAAGGTCACAAAAAAGTGTGCAGGCTCTTAAGAAGCAGCCTTTATTAGCCAGAATTGTAACTATAATTGGAACTTTTCTAGAGGGGATAATTGTAAGAATATGTGAAAAGAAGAAAAAATAGAATTTTGTGAGCTCCTAAATGATTAATAAATTGTGATATAATACTTTGCTTTCCCATAGAGTATTGCATCAGGCACCCACAACATCGTACTTTTGTGAATGACATCTTGAGTGTTTTACATAATGAATGCCTTTAACCAAATGTCATACTTGCAAATCTGACAGTTTGGAGAAAAAGCATTTTTTCTTTTCTCAAAATATTTCAATTTGACCAACTTGATTCATGCCTCATTCTATATATAATACAACTCCTTTAGTTAAAGTATGCCATGTTTTATAAAACATCTGAATTTAGCTTCCAAAAGCAGTAGTTGAATTCTACTTTCCTTTTCCTGAAAAGGAAAGGAGATGCTGCATAGATTTAATTATCCAGTATATCTGTGAGAGAAATGTTAAGATCATTTTCTATAGGGATGCGAAAAAATAGGTCCTTTTGGCAGACTTGAAACAGCGACACCTTGTGGCTTTCTATAGTGATTAAAAATAGAGCTACAGTAAGTTAATTCTTATTAATAGGATTAAGTATGGATTAACTAATGGTTTACTGGTAATTCAGAATGAAAGTATTATAATTATTATCAAGCATGAATGAGTGAAAGAAATATGTATACCTGGAGATCCCCAAGTTTGGCTTCCCTACAGTTTACTTCCTGGGCTTTTATTTGCAAAGTTACTTAAAAGACTTACCATATGAATGGACACCCAGCTATGTTATGCATATCAGTTCCAAACCTAATACCTAATTTTGTACTTTCAGTCATACACAAAATTAGATTTGGTTTAATAACTACAACCTTCTACATTTTTAACATTATTTTTTTATTGGCAACTGAACTGGTACCTACTACATTGCTGTATCTGAGGGGCATGCTAAAAAACAAAACACCAAATCCTAAGCACTGGGACAAGATCAGATTTGTGTGGGCTTTCCCCTATGCCTGATACATGTACAAACTGGATGACCTAGCTCTTCATCCAGATCTTTGGTGAGTGTGATACAAGCTGTCTACTCTTTTTTGTCCCACAGGTTTGTTATCTCTTCCATCTTTGTTGTTTTTATTTTGTGCAGTTTTCTTGTTTTAATGTTTTTAACAATTTGTAAACCACCCAAAGTTGTAGGGAATTGGAAGATCTATATCTTTCATAAATTGTTCTTACTCAAAGAAGACTATTATAATTATCAATGTTAGGACAATTAGTTAAATAGTGAAGAAGTAATTTTAGAGCAGAAGATTAATACTTTTCACAAGCAAAATGGGCTCAAAAAACAGATTCTCATTCAAATGAACTTAAGATCGGGCTATACTTCATTGGAAGCTGGAAAGAAAAGACTGCCTTTCTGCTATTCCAAGACACTTCATCCCACTCTCTGTGTCTGACATTTTTACAAGTTGTGCTGAATTATGGTTTGCTGACTTGTGACTTACCAGCTACAGCGACTAATCATGAGAACTACCTTATTTTGGTGAGAGGAGCAGGAGTTAGAAAACAATCTTTTTCCCTCATGGCTCCAACATTTTTGAACAGCCTTCTTCCAGAAGCTAGGTTTCGCCCTTCAATGATTAAATACCCAAAGTATTGTGCTTCATTTACTGCTGTTTATTTGATTGATATTGTTTTATGCTGTTGTCATAAGCTGTTCGAAGGCTAACACAAATCAGCAGCACGTAAGTTCAACAAACAAACAAAGCAATGACAAAATAATACAGCATGCTAAGCTACAATTTAGTTTGTATGATTTTAATTTAAGTTCAGAAGTTCCCAAATATTCTCCGTTCAGTGTCCTTAGCATCTCCCAAACCATATGCTTGGTGCCCCAAGGACCATTCTATTCATAAAGTAGTAAAATATCCTGTGACATCTTAGGGCATTGTGGCACACAGTTTGGGAACCTCTTAGCTTGTTTAGTCAATTCAGCCTGTGTAGAGTTGCTACATGCATACCTTTTATTTTTAGATGAAGTTCAGGGGTATCCA